GGCGATTATTCATCTATCTTGCACAAGTGCAGTTAAAGACAAGAGCCACTATTGGTACTACTAGCTCGACCAATCAGTTTATGGATGGAGTCATGCTTCCACAATGAGAAGATCTGGAAGCGCATGGAGCTGGAGCTGGGGCTTGGTCTACTTAAAAATGCAAAACAAATTGATGTTGCTACAAGGGAGAGGCAGTTGTTGCATGCCCAATTAACAGGTCAATTCTCAAGTGGCAACAAACATTGTTGCTGTCACAAATAGCTAAACAAGGAGATATGACAACAAAGGGTCTAGAGATGATGCTACTATCACAACCAGCATACCAAGATTTCTACTATTTTGGATAGAGGAAAATTAATGGCCGGTTCTTCAACTTGGCAAAATGTGTCACCAAGATTCCTCTACTCCCAAAATGTTATTTCTGGGTCCTTAAATTTGACTTTGGGAATCATCCAGGTGCAAACAGGCCCTAATCCGCTCTGTACGTTGACATGGCACACCGATTGTGCATTGAAGTGGCCCCTACATGTAAGGCCGGTCCTTCAACTTGGCAACTTGGCACGAGTTCGTGGTGAGAAAAACAAACGATGAGATGGGAAATACTCTCTCCATCCCATAAAAAGAGTCGCTACGAGACTCATGTTGGTTAAATTTTCTTAAGTTTGACTAGATTTGTAGAAAATATTAGCAAAAATTTGTATATCCAAATAAGTTTGTTAGGAAAATATATTCCAAGATCTATCCCATGATGATAATTATATACCATAAATATTAATATTTTATTATATATATTTGGTCAAAGCTGAAGATAATTGACTTCTTGGGAAACGAGAATGACTTTTTTTATGGGACGGAGAAAGTAAAGGATAAGAGAGAGTAGAAAAGAAAATAAATAAACAAATAAATAAAATAAAAAATCTACTATATCATGATGAGAATCTGTTTAACAAATATTCTAAGGAAACAGCTTCAGCTACATCAATGAAGCTACTTGTGGAACCAGAACTAAAAAATCTGCTCCAAAACTCCGGATCCTTAAAATGTCCAATGTCGATTGCGAGGGCAAATTTTTATACACACACACAACCTTAAACAGTTAAGGGTGAATTGGATTCTTGCCCTTACAATTTTCAGAAGTTGGAGATTTGCCCTTACAATTCGAGGAATTGAAGATTTGCCCTTCATATTTTTGCCCTCCCTGAGCTTTAGCCTTTTCTACGTATGAAGCATTCTTGGACCCACTTGCAGCATTTGTATGTCTGTATTGGATCAAAATGCCCCCCTGGACAAGAGGAAAAGGGAGAGGCGAACGGCTGAAGCCGCATCCATCCATCTCCCGTGCTTTTCCCTTCTCTCTCCCGTGTTCTCTCTCCCTCCCGTCTCCCTCCCTCCTGTGTTCTTCCCCTTTCTCCCTCAACAAACCCTAGAACTAGAGAGTGGAGGAGGTGGCTGATCGAGGCGGGCGGGCGCGGGCAACAGGCGGCGGGCGCGCGAGGCGATCGAGCTGTGACTCCTGAGGCTTGAGCCTTGTGGCGCATGGCGATTGAGGCACATGCAGCGAGAGAGGCGGTGGCCGCGCAGATTGAAGGCGATGCCGGCGATTGAAGACAGTGGGCGATTGGAGGTGCCCCATTCTTCTCCTTTTTTCCCTGGTACACCCCATTGTCGTCGTGGCCCGACCTTTGGCGCATCTGCTTCTTATCGCCGTTGACGCCCGCCTGTCTTTGTCATGTGCATATGGTGCCTGTTGTTTAATGAAAAATGCATTTACAGGAAGAGGACAGATGATGATGCTGGACCATCCAAAGCTGATGATGCTGGACCATCCAAAGGGAATAAAAAGAAGGCTTCAAAGAAAAAGACAACTTCTAAGGAAAAAAAAACACCATTGAAGAAGAAGCAGAAGAAGGATGCTGCTGCTCCTCCAGCAAAGGTTGTGAGAAGCCTGATGGACATGTTCTGTGGAGGACACTGAGACTGATGGTGCATTTCTAGATATTTTGTGACCTTTGTTTTGTAATATAATGTTAGTGAATTGTCAACTACATGTCTTTGATGGCAGCAAACTGTGAACTGTGTGCGATCTGTGATGGAAGTGAACAAGTAATATAATGTTAGTGAATTATCAACTACATGCCTTTGATGGCAGCAAACTGTGAACTGTGTGCCCAATGTAGATGTGTATACTGTCAACTACATGCCTTTGATGACAGCAAACTGTGAACTGTGTGCCCAATGGCAGCAAACTGTCAACTACATGCCCTTACAATTTTCATTAGAAGTGCCCAATGTAGATGTGTATACTGTCTCGGAATGTAATATAGTAAAAAAATGTACAAAAGTGGACAGCAATGTACCTGTGTCTTCCTTTTTATTGATAAGCATATGCTGAAGCTTATAGGGTGTGTAAATTTTATAAATGCACTGATCACAGGTAGCTCAGTTGGTGGGAATGCATGGAAGCCTCGCTGTGACCAGAACCCTTCGATCGGCTTCTACGACCAATTTGAATGACCTGATCACAGGTACGTACACACAGTTTGCTTACAATATTTCCTTTCATCCCTGTGTTAGTTGTTGAACTGCATTTCACAATTATGAATTTAGAATGGGAGATGAGAACTATGGTTGCAAAAAGCAACCAGTGTCCAGCCATCTACAGAATTGCTCAGATTAGGGTATGTTGGAGATTTCCTGCTGAATTTTATTTGATGACAAGAGAATTGCTCAATTAGATGATAGAATGACAAGAGCAAAGCTCAATTATATGACAGCATACACCACCAGATTGCTTGTTATGGTCAGCAAGACCTATGCTAGGAGAAGTGCCAAGACCTATTAGACCTAAGCATTGGCAAGACCTAAGAATTGGCTACAGCCTCAAGAGCCTAAGCTCTAACATTGCTCAAATAGATAACAGAATTGCAGCAAGGCTGCAAATTCCAAACTCAATTATTAGCAAATAGCTATTGTCATACATTTGATAGGTAAAAGCCACACACACGGCTACATCACTTTCAAATTGTGCTCAGAATACAACCAATGACTACACATACACACACGGCTACAATAATGACATAGTCCTTCTTTATAATCTCTACTTGTACCTTCAACTTCGAGACATCATTCACAGCATTGTCAAGTTTTGCCTTTATTTTATCGAAATCTTCCTTGAACTCTAGAATAGGGTCGACAGACCCATGTCCACCATCTGCACAACTGGGAAGGATCGCCTTCTTCCACCAAATTGGATGCTGCTCTGGATTGCGTAGGACATCTTCATACTGCTTCTCGGACATGATGATGCCACATGTAGTTGGGTCATCCTGCAACCGATGAAACCATACCTTCATGACCACCATCCAAAAGCACAAAATTGAACAAAAAAATTTGACTTACTTTGATGTTGTTCGGACACTTGACGAAGGTCTGGCCAAAAGTGGCCTGCTGCTTGCTTCGGATCCGTACTAATTTCACCTTGCAGTGTGGGCAGTCCACGAGTGGGGCGAAAGCCGAGCTCTGGATGCCCCCCGAGCTGGAGCCAGCAGCACCTCCTCCCATATACTGACTGCCACTCATCTGGGCAACAATAGGCACCATATGCACATGACAAGAGACAGGCGGGCGTCAACGGCGATAAGAAGCAGATGCGCCAAAGGTCGGGCCACGACGACAATGGGGTGTACCAGGGAAAAAATGAGAAGAATGGGGCACCTCCAATCGCCGTTGCCTTCAATCGCCGGCGTCGCCTTCAATCTGTGACCACACGCCTCTCCATGCCATGCCGCCTCAATCACAATCACTTCTTAAGGAGTCACACCCGACTCTAATCATTGCCACACACACCACTTTGTTGCCACAGGCATCTCCGATCGCCCCAGCACATCCCCTCCGACCGACCACCTCCTCCACTCTCCAGTTCTAGGGTTTGTTGAGGGAGAAAGGGGAAGAACACAGGAGGGAGAGAGACGGAAGAGAGAGAGAACACGGGAGGGAGAAGGGAAAAGCACGGGAGATGGATGGATGCGGCTTCAGCCGTTCGCCTCTCCCTTTTCCTCTTGTCAGGGGGGTATTTTGGTCCAATACAGACATACAAGTGCTGCAACTGGGTCCAAGAAGACTTCATACGTAGAAAAGGGCAAAGCTCAGGGAGGGCAAGAATATAAAGGGTAAATCTCTAATTCCTCGAATTGTAAGGGCAAATCTCCAACTTCTGAAAATTGAAAATTGTAAGGACGAAAATCCAATTCACCCAACAGTTAAACCCCACAGGGAGTGCGTGCAGCCTTTTCTTCTCTCCCGTTCATCCCGCGTCCGCTCTCTCTCTCTCTCTCGTGGGCCGTGGCGTTGAGTCGGCGACCGCCGCCACCCCCGTGCGCGCTCTCTCTCTCTCTCTCTCTCGTGGCGACGAGTGGGCAACCGCAGCCCGCCGCCGCCTACGCCAGGTGCCCAGGTCGCCCTTCGGCAGCGACGAGCATCCACCAGGTATATGCCCACCTCTTCTCTTTCCTTCCTGCCGTGTGGAACTGAGCCCACAAACCCTAACTTAAGCTATTTGTCCATTAGTATTTGAACTTGATCTAATTACAAGCTTATGTATGCACTCCTCCATACAAAAAAATGGAGTATTAGTCCTACTAACTTCACTTTTTTTGCAAAAATTATCGGGGGTCCACTCCTAGTAGCGAAGGAATTTCATCAAGATGAAACGGCCCTTGTCGATCCCAGTTATTGAACGATTAATTAGTTTTTTTTTGTCTAGATATATTTGGGGAATTTAGCATTAGCGATTACTGAGTCTTGGCTACTCTGGGTTCTATATACACACTGAGGTTGTGAGGGTACCAAATTGGAGCCCAGTGAAATGATTAGTTAGTTTTTCCCTGTCATTATATGTAATTAAATTTACACTTTTTGAGTCTTTGCTTGAACCATTTTGGATTACTTCAGATTTGTACATGAGTGTGATCTTCCCATTGTGAAGTCAGAGGCAATCAAGTATGGCTTCAAGGGCAATCATTAGGAGAAGGAAGTATTTCTTGGATCATGTTAACACACCTATCATTTCATCGTCCGCCTTCTCTACCTTCCAACATGGAAGACTCGGTTTGGAGGTTGAGCCAAGAACAGAACAGCGATTTCTCGAGCATAGTTTTGGGGATTCCAAATGTGAGAAGGAGCAACACAGTATGAATTTGATAAAAAAAGATCTACTAGGTCTTGGTAATGGGTTTCGGCAACATCCAGCTTATGTGATTTCTCTTTCTCATGGTGGAATTGGAAAGAATGAATTTGTGTTGCCTTTGAGCTTGGGAGCTAGATCTTTGCTGCAGTCAGTCCGCACAGCATCAACTACAACTGCAGGGCAGCCTAAGATGGATACAGATGATGAACAGAGTGAGGACCAGAAGCAGAATAAAAAGAAAAAGGAGGCATCCCCAGAAGAATGTGATCAGGCTGTGGAAGGCCTAAGCACTGCAAAAGCTAAGGCTAAAGCTAAGCAGGTACAAGAATCTCTGAAGGTTGACCAATCAGTTATACAGAAGTTTTGGGCGAGAATTCTGGGTGTGGGTCCTGCTCTCCGTGCTGTGGCTTCAATGAGCAGGTCTCAATTCCTTTTCTTTCCTACCTGAATGCATGATTATATAAGATGAATGATTGGTCTGTTTCTTCTGTAACTTATGAAACAATTTTTTGTTTGTTTGTTAAGGGCTGATTGGGCTGCAAAGCTTAAGCATTGGAAGGATGAATTTGTTTCTACACTGCAGCATTACTGGTTAGGGACAAAACTACTCTGGGCAGATGTTAGGATCTCATCAAGATTGCTGGTGAAACTTGCTGGTGGGAAGAGCCTTTCAAGAAGAGAGAGGCAACAGCTGACACGGACAACAGCAGATATCTTCAGGCTGGTCCCGTTTGCTGTGTTCATCATTGTTCCATTCATGGAATTCTTACTGCCAGTCTTCCTCAAGTTGTTTCCAAACATGCTTCCATCAACTTTCCAGGACAAAATGAAAGAAGAGGTATGTTCTTGACTATTTGTAAGTTGCAACTACCTGAAATTATGTTGCTTGTGTCTCCGCAAGTGAAATACTACTGTATGCTTAAGTCACGAACCATATCTAATAAACTATTAATTATTATTTCGATTGATTAGCATACCCTATTGGTGCCATTTGTATGGAAACCACAAGCACTATCATAGTGCAATCTGATTGGCTCACGGGTGCTTCTTTTTCCTCTACAGGAGGCACTAAAAAGGAAATTGAAAGCAAGAATGGAGTATGCAAAATTTTTGCAAGATACCGCAAAAGAAATGGCAAAGGAAGTTCAGACATCTCGTAGCGGAGAAACAAAACAGACAGCTGAAGATTTGGACGAATTTTTGAATAAGGTATAAGTTTCTTTGTGTGCTCTGTTGTCTCTGGAATAACTATGCATAGTGAACTACTTTCTCTATTATTGATTGGATAATGTGCCTTGAGATCAGGTTAGGAGAGGTGAACGTGTCTCTAATGATGAAATCTTGAATTTCGCAAAGCTATTCAATGATGAACTTACTCTGGATAACATGAGCAGGTTAGATATTCCTTTAGTAACTGTATAAATTCATATTCACAATTACACTAGTGACTAAACAGTTGGTTGGCACTATCCTGCAGACCACGCTTGGTTAATATGTGCAAATATATGGGTATCCGGCCTTTTGGTACAGACCACTACTTGAGGTTCATGCTTCGCAAAAAACTGCAAGAGTAAGTATTTAAATGAAGAGGTTAACTGAATGCTTATGCATTCTTATCTGCATATGCCAATATAACAGAATTGGTTAATTTTGTATATCAAACAGTGATGGGAACTTGTGGTTGATACTATCTTGTAGACAGCTCACCTAATCAATTATCAAAACGGAAAGTTTTGTTTCTAGTTAGTGGGACTACTGATAGAAAATTCATGCATTACTTTCAAGAAAAGACTTTGCAATGGGCAGTGTTTCTGTGGCCATGTAAACTTAGCAGACATTTGGAACCATCTTCATTTTGTTTATGTTTAACTCTCCATGCCACAGTGTTTTTTTGTTAGTCAAATAGCACTTTAGGTTCAACACCTAGATTTGTTTTCTGTCTATATAAAGAAGTTCATGATTTCTTCTTTCTTCGGTATAGTTGGTAGTTGTTTTTCTGTCTGTTTTGTTGGTGTTTTTTTAGATTCATCGAGTTTGAACTTAAAATGCTGGTGCGAAATATCTGCTTGTTTTGTTAATATTCCTTATCGTTTCAGCATTAAGAATGATGATAAGCTGATTCAAGCCGAGGGAGTTGAATCTCTCTGTGAAGAAGAGCTCCGGCAAGCCTGCCGGGAACGTGGTCATCTAGGCTTGCTGTCAACTGAAGAGATGCGCCAACAGGTTTGTTGCATTATGATGTGCACATGATCACAGTTATTTGAGCCATCAGTTCTTGTTCCACACTACAAAACACACTTATCTTTTTGAGACAGATTTTCAGCACTTCTCCATTATTGCCCACCATTTAATATACCCTTCATTTAATTGCAACAACGCATGCATAGTTAATTATTTCTGATGTACCTAGCCATCCCAGCAACTGTGAATTTGATCCTTTTTAACGTGGTCACGTCTTAGCACAGTGTGTCAAGAATTGGAATGGTACGATGATATGGAATAACACATGATATGGAATGGAGTGTTATTCACGTTGACTTAGCTCACTGTTTTATCAAAGAATGCATGTTTTCTCTTTCTTTTTGGCTAACTTTAAGGACCTCTATAAGCTGCTCAGGGCCATGTTTGCTTCTCTTAGTGGCTGTTTTCTCGTTCTTTTCTCGTCTCTTCTCTCTGTTAAATGAAATGTTATGTTTTAGAGTTTGTTTGCTCCAAAAGGCTATTTGTAAAATATGTCCCAAGTCTGATGTACTGTTGAAGGAAAGTACAACCAGCCCCAGCTTCGACTTTGTGTTAAACACATCTGACTATCTGAGTTGTATTGCTTGGCTTTTGTTTTTTTAACCATAAGTGTAACTCAATGATACTAAAATCTGGTGTATATAGCAGCTGTGTAGAATTTTAGATGCATGATAAACTGTACCAATAAATTTCATTTTGCACCCAGCTCCGAGACTGGTTGGACCTCTCTCTTAATCATGCTGTGCCATCTTCACTTCTCATACTTTCAAGGTAAGTTTGGTTGATATTTCCTTCTAGTGTTATTACCACTCGTGCTTGCATTCTTATATTTGGTAATACTTTTAGAGCCTTTACTGTGTCTGGGAGAATGAAGCCTGAGGAGGCTGTTGTAGCAACACTATCTTCTCTACCAGATGAAGTTGTGGATACAGTTGGGACAGTATTGCCATCTGAAGATTCGGTTTCTGAGAGGAGGAGAAAATTAGAATTCCTTGAGATGCAGGAAGAACTTATCAAGGTGATATAGAACTGTAGACTGAAACATGTTCTTTTTCTTAGCTTCCTGTTACCATTATATTTGAGTAGGTCTTCTGTGGGAGTAGTGCTGTGTATCTGATAGAGAACTTCCATCCACTGAATGTGCACCTCATAGTTTTGTTATTTAAGTTTCATCCAGTCCAGAAAGACACATTTATCTTAAGTAGTTAAGCCATAGATTAGTATTTTCTAACAACCCAACTTTATATGCACCCTGGATATTCTGATATTTTGAAATGCCAACTTCATATACTGGTGTTTTGCTGTGACCTTGCTGAATCACATGCTTGAATTTCTTAGGATTTCCTGTTTGTATTTTATCATGTGACAAAGTTACAAAGGTAGATTTCAATAGACTGATATTGGGCCCAATCCCTTCTGATTGGCAAATGAACTAAAGCTTATTTGAAGGGATTGGGCCTAATCCCACTATATCCAAACAAGCCATTAATATGCCTCAGTGGCTCAGTCCGTGGTTTATGCTATTTCACGGGTCAAGTGGAACTTGTTCATTAGAAGAACTAATTTGAAAACGTTTTTATAATAGAACTCAGTTTTGATGTCTCAGTGTATGGTTTATACATTCCTTGCTCTCGATCTATTAAGCTCACCTAAACTCCTTTGAGATTCATATTAGATTTAATATAGAGTGTTCTTATCTTTTCTCAATAAAATGGCTGAAGGCTTGTTCAGACAAACAATTCCACATGTGGATTGGAGCGGGTGTGTGTGTGTGTTTTGTCTGAGCAAGCCCTGAATGGGATCTGTTAATGCAGCTTGCTTAAAAAAAATCTAGGATAAAGGGCGTACCCAGTGCAGAGAGCTCCCGCTCTGTGCGGGGTCTGGGGAAGGGTGTCAGTGGCAAGCCTTACCCTCGCCTGTGCAATGCGAGGAGACCGCGACTCGAACCCGCGAATCCATATTTGTTTATCGTTATATAATCACTTTTATTATGTTGCAAATCTGTGCTGTTGATGTTCTGCGTATAAAAACCATTCAGGAGGAAGAGAAAAAGAAAGAGAAAGAAGAAAAGGCAAAACAAAAGAAAGAAGAGGAGGCAAAGATGAAAGAACCAGACACTGCTGAAGAAGATTTAGCTTTGAAGGAAATGACTGATGCTACTGCTAGGGAAGAAGAACTGAGAAAAGCAAAAGAACATGACAAGGAAAAGCTCTGTAATATCAGCCGTGCATTGGCTGTGCTCGCATCTGCCTCTGTATGATCCTAGTCTATGCGTATTCTTTTATTAGTAAATGTACATATGGACACTAATAGCACCATTGTTCTAGAACAATTGTCTGTCTGACCTTTTTCCAACTTCCATCTCTACATTGCAGTCTGTTAGCAAGGAGCGTCAAGAGTTCCTGAGCCTTGTCAATAAAGAGGTATAGTGTGAATTGTGATTAAAGCAACAATTATTCATGCATTCACCTTTCAGTCATAACAAATAATGCATCATGGAGGTTTAATAGGATTTAGCTGTCCAAATGTCCCAATGCAGATAGAGCTATATAACTCCATGCTCGAAAAAGAGGGTACTGAAGGTGAAGAAGAAGCTAAAAAAGCATATATAGCTGCTAGGGAAGAGCCAGACCATGATGCTGAGGTCGCTGCAGAAGAAAAGGTCTCATCAGCGCTGATTGAGAAGGTAAGAAATCCTCTTAATGCGTGTTATAGCCATAGTTAAAATTTACAAATATCACCTTTGATGTGTTTTCAGAGGTAAGTGTTTTTGGATATTTCCCTTAAAAACTATAAATAGATGTCTGAAAAGTTTAGAGATAAGACTGCAAACTTTTGCTTGACTTACAGACAGTTCTACCAATAGTCCAATATCAAATGATTGTAACTTTGGCCTATTATTGATGATACTTAACAGTTACTACCCTTTGTTTTTAAATTTCAAGGATGTCGAATGTCTGTGCATCTTAAAAAGCCTGATCAAAATTTCCTAATAGAGCTGTTGTATTTTTTTGAATCTTTAGTTGGTAGCTACTTAGAGATAATAATCATATCAAATGGGTCTAGTTGGTAAGGATACCAAACTCGCTGGCTGTGTCGACATTCTAGAATGCTACAAAAAGAAACATGCACCACTTGATTCTGGTGATGTGAGCCAATTAATTTATAATGTAAACCACTGAGGAAGAGGTATATAATCACATAAACGGTTCAAAAATGAATCCACTTCACATAAATTTATACTCTAGTGTAGTTATCTGTTTTTTAGAAAGGACGGCAAAAGCTTTGCCGCTATTTTTATTAGACGATGAAAAAGAAAAACAAATGCCGGCTATTAGACATGTATTGTAAACATGTATAGTCCTGTATACGTTGTATCTGGACATGATGTAATCCAAGCCCCATTGGGCTATATATATGAAAGGTCACCCCCCCTAAGAGGGTGTGTGGTGTTTCCTACATTTATCTCTACATGGTATCATTCACAATCAGACCCTAGCCTTCCGCTTCTGCCCCTTTCTTCCCTCGCACGCGCGATTAGCGCTCGCGACTCCTCGCGATCGTGCCTCCCCCTCGGCTCGCGACTCCTCGCGACCGCGCCTCACGCGCCCCTCCGCGCGTGAGACACTCACACCCGTCCACCCTTCCCGGCGGCGCTCCTTCACCCCTCCTCCCTCCCGATGGCCACCAACACCACACCGGCCACCGGAGACGGCACCATGCCAGCCGTCAACGCTGGCACCGTGGGTGCCGCCGGCGCCGGCCTTGCAGCCCCGCCGCCGCTGATCGTGGCTCATCCCTACGCCACGGTCAACGTCAAGTCCCACGTCCTGATCACGTTGAAACTCACCTCCAACTACTCGAAGTGGGCGTTCTTCTTCAAGTCGCTGTGCGGGAAATTCGGGCTTCGCTCGCACATCGACGGCACCGCTCCTCCTCAACCTGATGACCCGCAGTGGGACGCTGCGGAGTGCCGCGTTCGCGGCTGGCTCTCCGGCTCCGTCGACGACTCCGTCCTCGACCTCGCCATGGAGGACGCTGATCCCACCGCCCACGATCTGTGGGTGGCCATCGAGGGGATCTTCCGCGCCAACAGGGAGCCACGTGCCATCTTCCTCTTCAATGAGTTCCACTCCATGGTACAAGGCGACTCCACCATCTCCGCCTACTGCCAACGCCTCAAGATCAAGGTCGTCGCCCTCCGTGACGTCGGCCACCCTGTGGAGGATTCGCAGCTCGTCCTCGCTCTCCTGCGTGGCCTCAACCCTCGCTTCTCCAACACCGCTGATGACATCGCCAACTTCGCCGTTCTTCCCACGTTCGCCAGAGCCCACGACATGTTGGTTCTCAAGGAACTTCGCTTCGCCAACGACGTGAAGACCGTCGTCAACACCGCCGTCCTCGCTACCGCCGGGTCTCGCTGCACCAACCCGGGCGGGTGCTGCTCCACCACCGCCGGGGCCACCTCTGGTGGCTCCTACAACCCCCACATCAGCGGCTACGACAACGGCAACAGGGCGGCGGCGGCGGGAAAGGCAAGGGCAAGGTCAAGCGCGGTCCGGGTGGCGGTCAGCCCCGCGGCGGTGCTGCTGGCGCCCCTCAGCAGGTCGGCCAGTACAGGCCCATTGGTCCTTGGATCTACTACAACCCGTGGGCTCAGCAGGGCCCAGCGGCTGGCGCCCAGGTGTCCTCGGCGCGCCCCCTCAGGCCCACACAGTGTTCGCGCCCGTGCAGCCTCCGACGACCTTCGCACCGCTTCAGTTCTCCTAGCCGGCTCCTATGTCGAACCAGGCTGGCCTCGTCGCCGCGCTCAACCAGATGCATCTCTAGGACCAGCAGCCCTGGGTGATGGATTCCGGTGCTTCCTCTCACGAGCTCTTCGGATGGTATACTTCTTTCCCGCCATCCTTCTCATTCCTCCATTACTGTTGGCAATGGTCACACACTTCCTATTTCCTGTCGTGGCGAGTCTATCCTTCACACACCAGTGTCCAATTTTCCACTTCATAATGTTCTAGTTGTTCCATCCCTAGTGCACACTTGCTCTCAGTTCGTCAGTTCACTAGAGATTACAACTGTTCTATCGAATTTGACGCTCTTGGTTTTTCTATCAAGGATATCCAGACCCGGCGCGTGATGCTTCGCTGCAATAGTGCCGCGATCTTTACACCATTCCCACTACACCTCCCGCTCCACACGCCAGCATCGCCATCTCCACCGACCTCTGGCATCACCGTCTTGGTCATGCCAGCTCCGCCACCATAGATATTCTTCGCCATAGTGCGGCCATCAGTTGTAATAAAGTAGCGCATACTCGATGTCATTCATGTCAGCTTGGCAAACATGTGCGTCTTCCTTTTTCAAATTCCAGTTCATTTAGCACTATGCCTTTTGAACTCATTCATTGTGATGTGTGGACATCTCCTGTTGCCAGAATTTCGGGCTTTCAATATTACCTCGTTTTACTTGATGATTTTACTCATTTTTGTTGGACTTTTCCCCTCGTTCGCAAATCGGAGGTTGCAGCCCATATCACAAATTTTTGCAACTATGTCTCCATACAATTCAGCCTCGCCATCAAAGCCATCCAGGCCGATAACGGCACTGAATTCGTACACAATACCCTCGAGACTCCTTTTGCCTCTCGTGGTATCATTTACGCCTTTCGTGTCCATATACTTCCCCACAAAATGGCAAGGCCGAACGCATCCTTCGCACACTGAACAACATTAGCCGCACCATGCTCATTCATGCGCACCTGCCCGCACCCTATTGGGCTGAGGCGCTCGCCACAACGACATACTTGCTGAACCAGCGCCTGTGTTCCGCCGTTCGCAATGCCATCCCCTATGCTCTACTCTACAACAAGACACCCGATTATTCTCATCTTTGAGTTTTTGGGTGCCTCTGCTATCCCAACATGACCGCCACGACTCGCCACAAGCTCGCCCCTCGGTCCACAGCTTATGTATTCCTTGGCTATCCCTCCTCCCACAAGGGGTACCGCTGTCTCGATCTCTCAACGCGGCGCATCATCATCTCACGTCACGTTGTGTTTGGCGAGACTTGTTTTCCCTTCGGGCTTTACCCTTCCGGGTCCTCGCCGAGCGACCTGGATTCTTTGCTTGCAGGTACTATTCCGGCACGCCTCCCCGCGGCCGCTCCGTCGCATGTCGACGTCGCGCGACCCCGCTCTTCTCAGGCGGTCCTGGAGGAGCTGTAGGACGACCCTGCTGTCCTCTTCCGCGGCTCTGTGGTGGCTGCCGTCCCACCACCACCTGCAGCCGCCCCCGCTCCACCGGCCCGGGACTTCCACTTGACGTACAGCCGATGTCCCTGGGCCTCTACGACAGCAACAGCAGCCGCGCAGGCTGCTCGGGCACTGCGCCGGCACCAACTCCGGAGCAGCCTGCACCACCGCTTGTCGCCGTGCAGCTTGCACCCCCACCGCCCGTGCCCGTGCAGCCTGCTCCGGCGCCGGTCGTGCCGGCCCCTGCACCAGCACCTGCGCCACCGGCCTCCCGGATGGTCACCCGGTCACAGACTGGAACTCTTCGCCAGGTCCAGCGCTTCGGTTTCTCCGCCACTCACTCCGTCGTCTCGCCAGTACCGGCGAACTACAGGAGCGCCTTGGCCGACCCTCAGTGGAGGGCTACCATGGCCGAGGAGTACAAGGCGCTCGTTGATAACGGGACTTGGTGCCTCGTCCCTTGTCCCCCCGGCGCCAACATTGTGACGGGCAAGTGGATTTTCAAACACAAATTCCACCGGACGGTTCCCTTGCCCGCCACAAGGCACGCTGGGTGGTTCGCGGCTTCTCCTAGCGCCACGGCGTCGACTACGACGAGACGTTCAGCCCCGTCATCAAGCCGGCCACGATCCGCGTCGTCCTCAGCCTTGCTGCTTCACGCTCCTGGCCAATCCACCAGCTTGACGTGAAGAATGCCTTCCTCCACGGTCATCTGGCGGAGACCATGTACTGCCAACAGCCTCCTGGCTTCGTCGACCCTGCTCACCCTGACGATGTTTATCTTCTGCAGCGCTCTTTGTATGACCTGAAAGAGGCTCCTTGGGCCTGGTACCAGCGGTTGGCCGCCTACCTCAGGCTCCTCGGCTTCGTCGCCTTCGTCTCCAACACGTCCCTCTTTGTGCTCAAAGAGGGGGACGCCACCGCCTACCTGCTCCTGTATGTCGACGACATCATCCTTACAGCTTCTTCGACTGCCCTCGTGCAGTGCATCATGGCGCGTCTCCACTCCGAGTTCGCCATGACGGACCTCGGCGACTTGCACCACTTCCTCGGCATCGCCGTCACGCGCTCGCCACAGGGGCTCTTCCTCTGCCAGCGCCAGTATGATATGGACCTTCTACAGCGGGCGGGCATGGTCGAGTGTCACTCTACCTCCACACTAGTTGACACTCGGGCCAAGCTCTCCGCCACCGATGACGCTCCGGTCGCCGATCCATCATAGTATCGGAGTCTCGCCGGCGCCCTACAGTACCTGGCGCTCAACCGTCCCGAGCTTGCCTACGTGGTTCAGCAGGTGTGCCTCTTCATGCATGATCCCCGTGAGCCTCATCTCGCGTTGATCAAGCGCATCCTCTGCTACATGAAGGGCACTTTGTCCACTGGCATCCACCTCAGCTCCGGGCCGGTTGACTCCCTCACCGCGTACTCCGACACGGACTGTCTAGACTCTAGGCACTCTACGTCCGGCTACCGCGTCTTCCTCGGCGACAATCTGGTCTCTTGGTCATCCAAGCGCCAGACGATGGTGTCCCGTTCCAGTGCTGAGGCTGAGTACCGCGCGGTTGCGCATGCCATCGCCGAGTGCTGTTGGCTTCGTCAGCTTCTTTAGGAGCTCCACGCACCTATTGTTTCTGCGACCGTCGTGTATTGCGACAATGTTAGCGCTGTCTATATGACTGCTAATCATGTCCACCATTGTCTCACGAAGCACATCGAGGCCGACATTCACTTCGTCCGCGACAAGGTTGCCTTGGGACAGGTTCGGGTGCTCCATGTCCCCACGACACATCAGTTCGCAGACATCATGACCAAAGGCTTACCTGTACAGCTGTTCACTGACTTTAGGTCCAGTCTTTGCGTCCGAGATCCTCCCGCTGCGACTGCGGGCGGGTATTAGACATGTATTGTAGACATGTATAGTCCTGTATACGTCGTATCTGGACATGATGTAATCCAAGCCCCATTGGGCTATATATATGAAAGGTCACCCCCCCCTAAGAGGGTGTGGTGTTTCCCTACATTTATCTCTCTACACTGGCCCAGTTTTTGAGTGGAAACCGGGCCCAAAAAGAAAAACAAGTGCCGGCACATAAATAAATTTATACTCTAGCGTAGTTATCGATGGTACTACTATTTGCATATTCTCCATATACTGCCGTCATCTTCATGCTTGAGGAAAATCCTGGACATGCATCAACTAAGATTTAAGTTGGTCATTTACTCTGTCTTTTTGTAGGTTTTATAACTTAATCTATTTGCTCACTTAAAATAAGCCTATAACAAACTAAAGTGGAGGGAGTATGAGTATCTAATCTCACTAGCAAAGCTAAAGCCTTAAAGGATATCTAGTTTCATAAATGATTTCTGCATTTAACCCTCACAAGGAGGAGGCGCAAACTACCAGTGGTATTGGTTATTTACGATTAAGAGATTGTTTATTCACTTGCACATATGTTTTACACTTTTACTGCATTCAGGTTGATGCTATGCTTCAAGAATTAGAAAAGGAGATTGATGATGTGGATGCACAAATTGGAAACCGCTGGCAACTTCTTGATAGGTACGGTGCTTCTATGTTGAAAGTTGTTTAATGTTGCATAACAGTCAGCCAGTCCATTTTTTAGCTCTTAAGTACCCACTTATCTGGATTCGCAATATTGTTTTGTACATTTTTCAGTTGCAGTAGGTTGTTACCCTGTTGCCCCTTAGCAGCACATTTGTTTGGCCACCTGTTTCTGTAATTTACCCGACTATCTCCATTGAATCAATATTCCTGTTTGGTCCATGTGGAAGTCACCGTCATAGCTGTGTTGTTTCATATTGCTGAAGCCTGAATAAGATATGCGAGACATTGTTTACCAAGCAGAACTGCAATTTAGGGTTGGGTAAAAAAATGAAATCAAACGATCGAGACTTTGGGTTATGGTTCTTAGATCGGTTCCTGCCTTTAGGGAACTGAATTTTTTCATAGATCTCAGTCTGATTGCTTGGTTACCTGAATGGCCATTTGACCCATCCCACCCCAGCACTGTACCCTAGTCCCCACTATTAAATCCCCACTCCGGCTCCCAGTCCCAGAATACTAGTCCTAGCCACTAATACCCCAAGTGCGCACAACCAGCAGCACCAAGGCACCAAGCGTAGCATGTGAACCATACAACATAGCTGGCCGATGGTCCGTGCGGTGCACATGGCTCCACCTCTGGCCCACGACACACGTGGCTTTGTGCTGCTTCCTCCATACACAGTTCTCTTCTGCTCCCCCCATAGCCATGCCCCAAAGGATATACGAAAGGGAGATTGGGAGATGATTTGTTGATTGGATGGAAGAAAAGGGGTAAATGAGGCTGGAATGGGGGTTAGTGTTGATTTGGGATGAGAGAGTGAACTTGAAGACGAGGCTAGGATGGGGTTTGGTGTTGATTGGATGAACAAGTGCTCCTGTTTTCCTCGGTGCTCTTGGGAAAGAAGTGCTCATGCTTTGTGCTATTGTACCTACAAGTGCTGAGTTCGGTCAGCTTCAGTCTGAACAGGATAACTAACCGTTCCCTGTTTTCCTGGCAAACACCTCGGTTCTCATTTTGCAAAGGCCTTTTAAAAAACTGAATTACCGGAACCAAGTTGCCAGTTGGGATCCTACACCCAGCCTACTGTCAGTCCCAATAATGAACTTATGCCTATGAGTGCTTCTCCTGTACGAGGTGGAAACCTTGGTGTTTACACGTTTTGACCAAAATCATCTTGCACATGTGTCATCGGCATGTTGATCTAATTCGCCGTTCATGTGCAGGGACCTCGATGGTAAGGTGACTCCCGAGGAGGTGGCTGCCGCCGCAGCCTATCTGAAGGACACCATCGGGAAGGAAGGCGTGCAAGAACTCATCAGCAACCTTTCGAAGGACAAAGGTCCGTTCACACCCCTGACACCTGTACACTCTGTTCACTCTAGCTTTGTAGCAAATGCCCGATTTTCTCATTGTGTTCTGTCTTTTTTTTTTTGTGTGCCTACAGAAGGAAAGATCCTCGTGGAAGATATTGTGAGGCTAGCATCGCAAACAGAGGAACACAACGATGAGGAAGAGGAAGCACGGCAGTAGGTGGAAACAGCCCGAGTATCTAGATGGGTGGACTACAATTTCTGGAACAAAACTATGAACATCTCGGTTACTCATGGCTGTGCCTTGTTAATCAAAAGGCAGTACAGCCGTTTTTGGTGCCCCTAGGCAGAGACCCCGGTAGAATGACTCGTTGCTGTAAAAATAGTTTGACATGCATATAAGTTATACGGTACTCGGCAGAGTTGTGGTTCGGCAGGTTGTTCGCAACCGAAATTTTGGCTGGTTGCTGTGGAAGTGGAAATACAGTTCGGTTGGTCTTAAGCTACCCTCAATTCTGAAAATATTTAGTCTTCTTGAATCTTAAAATAGCTGGTGTCTAATGGACATGGATTAGAATGTTTATGTTTTATTAGTGTGTTATAGTTTTATAATCCCTTGGTATTCCTTGGGTACATATGAAATCTTTCTATGCCGTTAGTTCGTCTATAACGTGACGTTGGACATTGAAACATGTCACTGACACCAGTAGCAGAATCTAGTGTACGAAGACACGAAGCACCGATGAAAGGATGCAATTTTAGATTTAGTCAGAGTCAAAGTAACTAACTTAAATTTGATTGAGTTTATAAATAATTTATTTATTAACATTTAAGTCTACAAATAGATACATTTTATGGAAAATATAAGAATACTTATTTAGTGTGATAAGTATTAATATTTTTAAATAAATGAGCACTCTCCTAAGCCACTTGCTTTTTTTTTTAGCAAATCCTAGGTCACTTGCGATTGAGCTTTTTTTTAGCAGAATAGACCTTTATTATTTTTTCATAAGAAGTACAGAGATACAAACCAAACATATCTCCCTAAATTAGCATAGATACAACTAGCAAGATTATGAGCATCCACATTTGATCGTCTCCCCTCATGGATGAACTCGACAAATCTAAAATCATTCGATCTAACTCTAATTTCCTGGACAATGTGCCTATAAGAGCCCATACTACCTTCACGTATGCTTGCAACAACTCCAGCATTGTCACATGCCACTCTGAAGTCCTAAAGTAGCAAGTCGCTAGCAAGAGCCAGGCCTTCTTTACATGATATCGCCTCCATCGTCTCTGGCTCCAAGCTTCCTTCCATCACTACCGCCGAGGCCCCCAAGAAGCGTCCAGCAAAGTCGCGTGCAACAGCTGCAGCGGCGACAATTCCTGAGTTCTTAGCCAAGGCTGCATCAACGTTAATCTTCATTAGCCCCGCTGGGGGAGGAATCCAGCAAGTGTTGCTGCTCTGAACAGCGGGTCAATCCTTCACGTTTGGTTGCACCAATTGGAGATCAGCTATAAAACTAATGACAAAATTATGAGTCGAGACCGGACTTTGATAAATATCTTCATGAATAGCTTTCCTTCTAGCATACCAAATAGCCCAAAGGGTCACGGTGACCTGGATTAGGTCCTTATGCTTCAGGTATTGCATCACTGCTGCCAACCAGCCCTTTGCATCCTGATCGTCAATACGACAAATGTGCTCAGTTATCTCATCCTTCTCCAGCGCCCAGACACAGCGAGCCATATTACACTCAAGGAGAGAGTGCCGCCATGAATCTTCAGCGCCACAGATGGGGCACTGTAACACCCTCGGTGTTACGCCCTAAACCAACTATTAAACCACCTTATGAGCATCATGTTTATGTGTTAGAACATGTGGGAAAGTGAAAATAGAATTTTGGTTGTACTAAAAATGCCCAACGAAGATTTAGTTACGAAAGGTTCTAGTGCTTGTGTGTTATCGAGTAGGCCTATAAAACAATTTTTATTAAGCAAAAATGTTATAAAACATGTATGTGACATTTAAATAAAGTTTAGAATATGAACTTTGTAGATGACAATGAAATACTTGCCGTGGATAAATAATAGGAAAAAGTCCATTTTTGGCCCTCCAACTATGGCTGCAGTTTGTTTCTAGCCCTCTAACTCGAAAACCAGACACGCGCAGTCTCTTAACTCTCTAAACCAGTTAAAATTGGCCATCGCGCCGGCGCGACGGTGGTTTCTGCCCAGTCAACCCGCCACGACCGCGATATCGGCCCATTTTCCTTGTCTCGTGGCCCAAGTACTCCCGCACCCCTCTCACTCTCGTTCCTTCCCCAACCCCGAACCCTAACTCCCAACGGCGGCGACGGCGATGGTGACGGCGGAGGGTGCTGGTGCGGGTGCGGATCGACAGCATGGCGAGCTCGAGCAGTGCGAGTAGCTGGAGGGGAGGAGGAAGGTCTAACCGTGGTGACTTTCGGTCGTCCCCCTTGGAGTGTCGCTGAGGCCCTCTTGATTATTGGCCGCCCGTGATTTGCGATTGCGGAGCAAAGGCGGCAAAGTGGACATCGTGGACCAATGATAATCCGGGCTGCAAGTTCTACAATTGCTTTAGATCTCAGGTGAGTTCGATCGATGACTTGTTTAGGGTTTGGTTCTTTGTTGGATATCATGATTGAAGTTGTCTTGGTTTTGGTTGTAATCACGGTTGTAGAGCAATATGCGGCCATGCTAATTTTATCGCTGGATTGATCCACCAACCCCGGAGCACCTTGTACCCATTCTTATTGAGCTCCGTGACCAAGTGCGAGCAATGAGGACGACTAACAGACAGCGAAATGGCCACATGGATCTGGCATTAGTTGATGCAACATTCATTGATGCAGAAGCATTAAGGCAGCAAGAAAGAGTCATGGTGGAAACAGGATTTGCAGGCACAGATGATGTGGCAGCAACGGTGCAAACAGCTAGAACAGAAGATGTTCAGTTGAAATGCAGGATGATAGAGAAGGAACTAGGTTTGTTGAAGTTTGTATTGGTGGCCTATGTGATTCTAGTGCTTGCTGTACTTTTTAGAAAGTAGATGTTTCTTGCTTTTTTAGTTGTGATGGAGGACAATGGTAGTAGTTGGATGCTTGTTAGTTTGTGGTGTAGAAGTATGGAAGATGTATTGAATTAAAGATGTATTTTGCTATCTTTGAATCGATTATGAATTCCAAGATAAGGCTTTCAGGTTTTGGTTGCTCATCATCTCCCTGCTGTCATGCCTCTACATGCTTACCCTTTTCAATTCAATTCAACTTTCACAGCTTCGAATTGCTAATGTTTGCTGAACTACAGAAGAACTTATAGCCTCAAAGGCAACCAAGGAGTGATAGAAACGACTGAACATTACAACCTAGAAGTCTGGCATTACATTACATTACATTACAGGTGAAGAACATCACAAATACTTTAAAAGTCTGGCATTACATTACAAGTTCAACAACCTGAAAGCCTTGAAAGTCTAGTAGTACAATGCAAGTTAACATCACAATATTGTATTACATGCTCTTAGGGATCAGCATGGTCTTTGAGAAGCAGCAGTTGCCTTGGTTGTGTGCGCTTCTTCACTGATTGCTTCTTCCTTGGAGGTTCCTCGGCAGCGACTGTAACACATGCTTTTCCACCTTTAAAACTCAAGTTCACAGAAGAACTTGCCTAGGACAATGGAACACTGACTTGTAAATGCATGTTAGCTTGCCCAGACGTTTGCACTCTAGCTGTGGCATTGCACTTGATCTTTTTCTGCATGTGAGTTAAAATATAAGAAATTGGAGGCAAAATTAAAAAAAGGAAACAACATACGAAGTAGCACATACAGTTACTTGGCTTCGCTAGGATGCTCTTCTTTTCCCTCTTCCTCTACTGCTTTCATTAGAGGTAGCAGTGGGTACAAAGTTGCCATGTGTAGAAGCATTAGCTGATAGATTACTTGGTTGTGGAGCAGCATGACTTGTGCCTCCTAGAGTTTCACTACTAGATGGAACCCCATGTCTCTTATCACAAGTGGACCTATTGTGGCCTATTCCCTTACATTTCCTGCATCTGATGACTGTCCCTACCTTAAAAAGTCTCTTTGCCTTTGGTTGTTCTTGTGGCTCCCTCTTCCTTTGTTTTTTAGGTCTGCCTAGCATTCTCACATATCTAGGTGCCTTCAAGGGTGGGAGATCAGACTCTGGCCAATTCTGCATACCCTCCAATGGGTTTGGGTAGTGAGAGTAAGTATTGTTGAACTCAGCAATATGATAACAAGCTGCAATGTAATCATCTAGCACATTTGTGTTGTAAAAGATGCAAGAAATAGCATGGCAGCATGGCAACCCAGACAACTGCCAATACCTACAAGACACTCTCTAGCCTATAGGTCAACTGTGAACTTGTTGTCCCAATGATTGACTTCAAATCTGTTAGCTCCATTGCTAATAGCATGGCATACCCCTGAAAGGGTGATACTTGCATTTAGCTTTTTAAGGATGTTGGGACACACTGTTCCTATCCATGTTTGTGATTTAGACCTATTCTGTTGGATCCTCACCATCATCTTCCTTCTAATTGTCTCTAGCATAGTTACAATAGGAAAGAACCTAGCTTCCACAATCCATTTGTTAAATGTTTCACACATGTTGTTATCAACAGAATCACAATTTGATCCTATCTTAAACCAGGCCCTGCTCCAATGAGCTGGATCAGTGTTCATCAAGGCTTGTGCACCACCTGGTGTATACTTTGCTAGTCTAGCCCTTGCAAGATTGAACAATGGTGGACAGGGTGCCTTTGCACAATGCCAGAATTTCTTTTGCCACTCCTTGTTCTTGAATTTCTTTCTCTAGTTGGCATATATATGCATGGCATAGTTTCTGTGTTCAGCACTAGGAGCCCATTTCTGTACTACGTTGAGGATACCCTTCTGTTGATCAGATATGATAACCCACCCCTCCCCATCTCCCACTCCAACATCTCTGAACAAAATGTCACAAAACCAGTCCCATGATTCATTGTTTTCCTTCTCTACTACTGCCCATGCTATGGGATACATCTGGCTGTTGGCATCCCTTCCTATTGCACACAGAAGCTCCCCATTAGTTGCACCCTTAAAGAAGCAACCATCTAGACCTAACACATTTCTACACCCTGCCATGAATCCTTTTTTACATGCATCTAGGCAAATATACATTCTTTGGAATA